CTTTGTTACGTTCTTGTTCTAAAAGGGATAGTCTGCCTCTATAACATAATTTGTAGTACTTTTAACACAAGTTTAGATATCAAAGAATGCGAATATGATTAGTACTAAATTTGAAGTCCTCAAGGCGAAGCTAGCGTAGTGATGGTGATCTAAGTGATCTGTTTCTGCACTAGGGCATCAGGCTTATTGTCTTGGGCCACATAGTGGCAACAGTTTAATAGCAGGTGTGCACATGGAGAGAGATGAATATGAGATTTGTGGAACTGGTAAAAATGTGTAAGAGCCACAGGTTCTATCTTTGACAGACATTCAGGCATTTTTAAAAACACAAGAAGATTTAACCTTCATACACCAATTTTAGTACCTGGAATCATGAGTACAAGTGATTTTTGACTGCTCTGAGTTATAATGAGGAACTTGGAATGGTTTGCAGTAGAATTAGCTTTCCACATTACAATTCTCTTCAGTCAGTAGAGTTCAGTGAAGTAGAAATTCATTGTAGAGTAAAACACTGTGTCTTGCTGTTGAGCGTGCTGTGACTGAACCTGAAAGCAGTAAAGCTATAACTACTTAGCATTTGGGCAGCTTAGTACTCTTAAAGTACAGTTTCAAAATTATGGCCAAGTCTGATATCCCTTCTTGGTTTTGTAAATATCCTTCTACTTGGATTTTATAAATGGTTTTTATGCACGCTCTCTCATTCCATGTGCTCCTTAAGTCTCCTGTAATAACTGACAGCGTACACAGACATGTACAGTGGAGGGGAAAAACTGGATAAATGGGCAGGTCCCAGCCCTAGGCTTTAATACTGTAACTAGTAAATTGATGGTGTTTATTTAACAATATATTGAAGATACTCAATAATATTCAGTGAAAAAACAATTGGGTTTTGATTCCTATATTGAAATTAATTTGCTGTGCCAGAAATAAAATGAAAAATTCTGTGAGATGATACCGTAGATGTAGTATTTTTGTATCCTTTTCAGATGATCTTTACAAAGAACAAAAGGAAATGATGCTTCGCTGTGTGAAAGCATGTATGGAACTTGATAGCCCATCCTGCACGAAGCCTGCATTTGTGCTGACTGAGAATTCATCCTCATCAGTATCTCTTAATCTCAGAAAGGCTCGGGAGGCACTGATAGAACTTTTGGGAGACGAGAACATGTTTCGGCAAAACGTTCAGCTGCCATATAACTATCACATTGGTATGAAGCCAAATTACTGTCATATTCTTTTTAATGTAGATTTATAATCCCCAAAATAATAGGGTAGTAACAAATTTGCGTAGGGTGCAAGTGATTAAAAGTATAACGCTTTGAAGACACAATCTTTTAACAAATAGTGTCCTTGATTGGTGAATCTACTTTCTAGGATGCTTTAGTTAAAAGTATTTAAGTCAATTTACTTAAACTTTATGATTGCTTTTATTTACAAAACTGCTTTGGACTTTTAGTTAAGCACGAGTGAGCAGATGTTAATTGTACATAAATCCAATATGGCCAACTGTTTTAGAGAGTTGACGCGTTAGTACTAAAACACATTAGAAACAAAGCCAAACAGTAGCCTTCTTTTCTCTGACTTGTTTCTTCTCTGAAGCTCTGGCTGAGGTTTGGGTTCTACTTTCATTTATGAAATGGGATATGACCTTCTTTGACAGGTGGTCATTCCATAACATTTGGTTGCTTTTATATTTTGATATTGCTTTTTTGCCAGCCACCCAGCTTACCAATTTTTCTGTATTTGTAATAATTTTCTTCCTAAATATTTCTAATGAGGTGTCAGATTACAGGAAACTCTGAGTAGGTATGACAGACTGCGATCAAGACTAGTTTCTTTAAATTGTGATTTCACTCACATAAAGTTCTGTCTACAGTTTCCAAAAACAAATGTGTTTTTTTCTGGAAATCTGCAAGCTATAGCTGTTTATATTGGTTGCAGGGAGGGAAAGGCCATTATTAGAGAACAGCAATTAGAAGAAACAGAGCAGTGATGGTGTCTGTTAACTTTTTCAAATGGGCTGTTTACTTGAAAACAATTCGAACAATTTATGTTGAACAATTAATTGTAACCTCTTGCAGTGTTAAATGTGTTTTGTTTTCAGATTTTGAAATCAGAATGGATCCAGACAGAAAGAAAGTGCTCCCAATAGCTGCAGCAGATGATCATGCTGACTCAAGTGATGAAAGGTGTCTTTTTTGACTGTGTATTTTTTCTAGCAGGCTAGTTTTATTTATGTGTATTCCTTCCAGTTACTTCTTTGGTTCACTGATTTGCAGAAGCAAAGTAGATAACTAACTTGTTATTTCTGCTCACTGAAGTACACAAAAATTGCCATGCTGGTTCAGAGCAACAGCTCATCCAGCTCACTACCTTCTTCTAACAGAGGTTAAAGCTTAACATTTCAGAGAAAGAAACAGGAAACATTACAGTAATCTGATACTCTTATAATGGATACAGGTTTTGAAGTATGACTGAAATCCCTTCCAAAAAATTATGACATTATGGTTTTGAAATTCCAAGTGTTTGTGTCCAATTCCAAGTATTCATATCCAAAATAACATTCAGTTATTCTCTTAAGTCTCGAAAATGTGCATCTCAATTAATTCAGCTGGGGAAGTATAATTTGAATAAAAAGGATCATATCCACATTTTAGGTGATTAAATTAATCTTGCGTAGAAGAATGACCTCTCAGTAACTGAAGTGAGACATATATCATTTAAGTAACGCTTAAGTACACTTGGGTAATACTTAACATTTGTGTGCTGGATCACTGCACAGCAATGTATTTTGTGTAGTTTGCTTTTTGGGAAAAGGAGAGCTAGTGAATTGTGTTACAGAAACTCACTGTCAGGTTTCCAAGGCATTCAGCTTTCCCTTCCACATAGGTTTTTATGGCAGGAAGTAAACTAATTCTGAATATTAGCAAAGGATCAAAGTAAATGCAGAAGCTGTTGAAAAAACTAGGATTTTGAATGATCTATTTCCTTTCACTGTGGCAGAAGTGGAGATCTACGGACTTAATTCTGCTGCAGGAATTTACTAGATGCTGATACTTGTGTGAAGCTCATAGAAGAGAGGGTCTAAATTACTTCTGGAGAAGGAAAAGGATAATGAAATCTGTGCAGTCCTGATATTTTTGGCTACCAGAATGACAGCTATATATTCGGCAGTGTTAATGGACGTCATTGAATCATTGTCTTAAAAATGCTTATTCTGCATTTGTACAACGGAGTCTTCCCTACTCTTATTGGTTGCAGATTGGCTTTTCTCTTTGTTCCTCTGTCTGCCTTCTGTGTGGGTACAACACACCCCCAAGGGAAGCTGGCAATGAAGAAGCGCCATCTCAACAAACTGGGCTATCATGTGATTCTGGTAAGAGAGTGCTGTTATTCTCTCTCTTTTGCTCCTGTTGTCAGCACAGCGATGAGTATGTTTGTTTGGTAGAATAGGCCTTGCAGGGAATGGTGAACCTTCTCCAGAGTGGTAATTGTATATTGTCTCTACTTAGAACATGGTGGTAGTGTCACTAGGGAGAAAGGACAGAGGAACTCTGAAAGACAAGCTACCACTTAGCATTATCAGCAAAATAAATATAATCAATGTTCAGCAAATTAGAAAAAAAAAAAGAAGCCACTGAATTGCATTGTACTTGAAAACCTATGTGACTTTGGTTTATTTCCCTGATTTTTATAGAATGAATGATTCAAGTCAACTTGTTTTCAAAATACTGTGACTCACTATGGCCTTCCCATCACTGAGCACTCCGTTTGTGGGAGAGAGTAGTTTGCTAAAGGCAACAGAACTAATGTACCCTTTCCGTTTCCTTTCTTCCAGGTCCTGAACAAGAAGTTTCAGGAAATGACAGATGAAGATGCAGTTGAATTTTTGAAAGAAAAAATTTATTCGAAAAATGCTTTCCCTTTTTATGAAGTGGCTGTGCAGGATAATAATTAAAATAAAGTAACAATTTTAGGTCTCCTGATGTCTCTTTTTCCTGTGTAACTTATGTAAGGTTTTAACAGAAAAGACAAGTAGTTTTATACACAACTGCCTACTCCAAAGTATTACGGATAGAGATAAGTTCGTTAAGTGAACCATGTCTGCTGATAGAGGAGGTTTTCTTTAGTGGAAGGAACTACTTAATTAATCCAAAAAGCATCCTGGCATCTATTGCTGTTGAACTTTCTTAATTTTATTTTCACTTTGCTTCCTCTCCCCCATGCCCCAAGTCAAAGTTCTCTCTTCTCTTGAGCGGGGTCAGGGAAAGGAAGTGACTGTTTTAAGTGCCGTTGGAACCTGGCCTACAAGTATGCACTAGAAGGATTCCCCTCAACATCCCACCACCACCATGTTAATCTTTGTGCAGAACTATAGACAGTAAAGCTGTAAGTAACTCACCCTAAGGGATATATTAAAAAATCTAAAGTTACATGGAAAGTTTCTGAAGAAACCAATCTCACCCAGTTTTCAGAAGTTCAGGCCAATATCGATTCTGTTAGCTGTTTGGTTTTTCTTTTGAGCCTTTTGCTTCACTGCTACTTTAATGGATTTTGGGACTTCTCCCTACAAGGACACAGGTCTGGCATATCTTTATAAACTGACTCTTGCTCTCGGTTTCTGATCTTAGCATCTCCCGAACTTTTTAAAGAGGCGTTGCAATACGCAGATTTGTTTGTTACATACTGTGATGCAACTCCACCAGCCTGTTAATGTAGTGGTGGAATTGATTATGTTGGCAGAGTCCTAGAAGTTCAAACCAGCTTTGGGCCTTTGAGCTCAAGGAACAGAGAGAACTGGTACATGTTTTCCATTCTTGGTAACATTTACTGGTAAAAACCATTTGTTGTGCTGGAGTTGCTGAAGTACTTAGTAAGAGCACTGAAATGCTCAAAATACACGTTTGCCAACAACAGCTTGCTTGCTTCTGTGGTATGATCAGAGCTTCAGTCATCATTTTGCTGTAGCGTACTCACAGCCCAATCGGCATGAAGGGAATCCACAGCAGTACTTTCGACAGTGTCTGCATGCTACCTAATGGTGGTGCCCTTGCCTCGTTTGGTAAGCTGCAGGAACTACGTTCTTTGTCTTTCTGAAGTAGCGTGGACACACGGATAAGGCATTACAATGATGAGATTAAAGAAACAATGTGCTTAACAAAAATCCACTGCCCAACTTCTTGCAGAACACGCAGACAGAATACAGTGCACATTTATGAAAGAAACTGCAACCAAAGAAGCATCGTCACAGCAGTCTGGTGTAAAAAGCAGAGCGAGCTGTTCAGCATTTCAGCCTCTGAAATCCAGCACGTGCAGAAAAACAGATCTGATGCAACTGTAAAACAACCAGACAGAGTTCATCTGCTTGACTTGATAAGCTCGTTGTGCCCCCTTTTTGTATTTGCTACTTTAAGAAAGTATTGTGTGTACAAATCCATCTGTGAAGCAGAGTGGTCAGAACCATTCTGATGTTCTGAGCTGGCCAACTGACTCATGGTCCTGGCCTGTGCTGGAGGAGGTCTGAAATACACTGTGCTGGCGAGTGGAGTCATGCTCAGAGCTGTGTTTGAGAAAGCCTTTGCTGCCGTTCAACGCTGAAGCCCTGCAAACCAAGCTAATGCAGCGTCAGCTGCAGCTCTTGCTTGGGCTGGGGAACTGCTTCCTCTGCTTTGAACTTGTCAGTCAGGTCCTCACTAGCAGGTACATAGCTCCCGTCTCTTCAGGGATAAAACACCGGGCAGGGAAGCACGTGGTCCTCTTGGGTGCCAGCAGCCTGGACGGAATCAGCCACCAGTGGGCACAAAATGGCACAGCACGTTATGGTAAATTAGACGATCACCATCTTTTCTTTCTTTAAACGCCTTATGAGTTAGCTGGAAACTTATACAAGCAGTATGGAAACCTGCCATAATGATCACCTTGCTTATTAAAATACCTTGCTTTATGCTACCTGAATAATTTAAGTCGTTACTATGTCACCTGCACTGATTCATAGTTCCAAGCAGTATGTAGCTGCTGCCAGAGAGACTTCAGAGCTGTGGGTTTTCGAACCTTTACACATGCTGAAAAGCTACTCTGTTGCAATGTCTGAAATAAACCCAGGTTTCTCCGGTGTCCAATTCATGTAGTAAGGGAGCTCTAATCCCCTGCTTTGTGCATTACAATCTGTATTTAGAATACCATTCTTCTCTCTCTCCTGAGTCACACTTATTAAAATTAGTGGGACACTCACAATGAAGATCAACTATAATTATTTTGCTCCTGTAATTGTGGGTTTTGTCACTGCATGGATTGCTCAGTGCCAAAAGTGCAAAATCTTCTTTTTAAAATGAAACAGATACTAAACAGATGTTTTTAGCTGACCTGCCAGTGAGGCTACCAGGGGATGCAAGCTGCGCTTTTCTCTACCGTTTTCACAGCCTGCTGCAGACTCAGGAACATGTGTTTCTAACCTTTATTCACACTTGGAACACTTTCTAAGTGCAGTGGCTGGCAATTTTTTCTGACCAAGGAGTGGGGAACCAGGAAGCTGAATATGGCTTTATTTCATACAGCCTGTGAATGTATTTTATTAATGGATGGAACTGAGACATTTGCTGTGGTGTTTGACTCACTAAAGGTATTTCAAGGGTGTATCCAACCTGTAGCAAGGCCAAGGTTCTCAACCACATGTAAAGTGAAAATAGACAATTTATGAAGTAAACTAAATTGCTGAGGAGGGGAAAACCTTCAATGAATTAAAGGCTTGTTAAAGAAGATAAAGCAGGTATAGGGCTTAGAGTAATTATGTAGCTATGACTTGAAGACAGTGGACTCAGCCATCCAGAGCAGCCATATATTTGACCAGATTCTTGTATGAAAGCAGCATATTTTATTCCTGTGACACAAGGAAGTCTGAAAAGCAGATCCATAGAAATCTTTCCTTCATTCTGAAATACTGGACTTAAGTATTTGTTCTGCTAATCTCAAGTCATAGAATCATAAAATGGTTAAATAATAAACAGGTACTGCCTTTTATGATACCTGTTTTTTATATGCTGCTTGCTGTTATACAGTTTTCGATTCATAAATCTTATTACAAAACAATAAAATGCCATGATAAAGCTGGCTTATCTGATAAATTTTTCCTTGAGAATAATGCACATACTGTTCATCCTTTGAATTCTCCAGGTCATCTGAAGGATATCCACATACAAAAAGGTGACAAGCTCAGATCATTGTCATGTATCACACAATCAATAAGAAAACATAGTGAGAAGGATTTACAAATGTATAGCAAACTTCACTGACCCAATGTTCAGCATTGCAGGATGTGTGAACAGATCTATAAATGAGAGTAAGAAACAGGAAGGCAGAAGATGTGGGCTGCAAGGGTCAAAAAGGCTTTTGTGTGAACAGAAAATAAACTAGTACCATCTGAGCAAAAATGAAACAAAGTTTGTGAAGCAATGCAGAATGAGAACAGTGAAGCTTTGGAAAAACAAACTATTTCCATAATCAGCAGAATTTGCAGATCCTGATGACCTGCAGTTCTCTCCTGCTTGGATTTACTTATGTCTAAAGACACTTTTGGGCACCAACTCCAGCCTTATGAGGGTATGAAAATACCCCAGCCACTCATTCACAAGAAGCATCCAGGAACTCTCTTTCAAACTTCCACCTTGCTCTCAAATTGGCCAAGAGATTTAAAAGTGACCAGGAAAGAGGAATAAAAAGTACATTCTAAAAGTTTGATTTATGTTAAGAAATCAGAATCTAAATAAACTCTAAGGCTTGGGGGGTTTTTTGTTTTATCTTGGTTTGGTTGTGTGTGGTGTTTGGTTTGTGTGTTTTGTTTTTTTCTTTCTCCTGGCTATTATGGCAGTAGGTATTATTTTATACTGCCATTTGTTAACACTAAACTAGTCTCTTTGCACATGAATCTCAGAGCACATAAGCTTGCATGAATGAGGTTCCAGTTTCACTGCCTCTTTGCTGGTACTAGAATATCTGAATTAAAAAGGAATTGCAGTTGTTTTGCAGATCTCCAAAAGAGGTAGAGCATTCACTCCTAGGCAAAATGTGCTGAAATTATTTATTTCAAGACAAAAACAGAGCCATTGTTATCTGTTGTTCTCTACATGCATACTTTTAAAGCAATTATAGTACTTAAGCACAGGTTTTACTGAACATGTAGTCTGTGGTTTTGTTCTTTGCTAGTAACAGTAGTGGTTTTAGTAGTTGTGTGTTGTTATTCTCTTTTAAGTGATGCAGATACAATGGATCTTTGAACTATGTTTAAGATCTGTCCTTTGAGTTGCAGTAGATTTTTCTCTTTCACAATTTCTGGACAACCACAGCATAAGGTGAAAGTATAAATGTGGTGGCAACTGTAAACAACCAACCAGGAACAAGAAGAAGGAGAATCTGTCTTTGGCTCTGAAGCAAAAGTCTTGCGTGTTCACAGATAAACCAGTGAGCTTTTGTTTCGTCCTGTTCCCTCTCTCTGAAAATGCTCCCATGCTATACTCCAGTAATGTTGTTGCCATGGCAGCCATCAAAACCCAGATATGCTCTTGCTTTATAACAAGATGCAAATTTTGATAAACAGGAGAATTTCTTTTCACTGCTATAGGTAAGAGACTCTGCACATTCCCTCAGACAGAGCAATTCACTGAACACTCTTTGCCAGTCCTGAGGTGCGCCATAGTTTACTCTTATCAGTTCCATCCACAAAGGGCACTTGGTAAATTTTCTGGTTTTGCCTGTTTGATTTTCATGGTACAGACTGTGCTGCACATAAGATGTCATCTGTACTCAACCACCCTTTAGAAAGGTGAGGAAGTGTGTGGGGAGTGTGGGGAAAGGGGGAGTGGCTCATCAGCTAGTTTAAATTGAAGCCAGGGCCCTACAGCAATACACCAGCTGAGGCTGTGGCTCTACATCTTCAAAGGAGAAAACTTGAACTATCATGTGAACCCAGTTTTCTCCTTCTGCAATAGGGAACATCTGGTCAATCAAACTCTGACTGCACAGAGGCTGGTGTAAATGGTGAGAATTGTCACTGAAGTTTTGCTATGTACTGACAGAGATGAGACGAGATTCAGGAAATACATAACGGCTTGTGGAGGAGGTTATATATCTGCAGCAAAGATGTTAATGAATGCTCCCACCTAGGGAGGAGACACCAAGCACGGAGCCTGCATTTTATTACATTCATGTAATAAAAGACTATTTAATCTTTTCAAGTATACATATTGAAGACCAGTACTGGGTTGTTACTTGCCCTTTGTGCTGGCTCAGCAGTTAGACATCAGCTTTAGCAGAACAATGATAGTTCCTTGACACAGGGAATTCTCCAGAAAATACAAAGGCAACCTAAACCTCTTGTACACTGCGGTGTATGAGGCAAGAAGAGGGTAAAAACCGCTGATGCATTCTTTGTCTCTGTTGTTTTAGAATATGCTCCATTTTGCCAATGAACGATTTCTCCCAGGGACGCACCATTTCTCAAATGAATCCTCAGTCTGAGCCACTTCTGTATAAATGTAAGAAGTGCGTGTGTGCACGTGTTGGAGGTTTCCTCTGTATCAGTCTATGCTCAAGGAACAGTACAAATTGGTGAAGGCTTCACTGATGTCAGCAAGAAGACTTCATTCTCAGTAGGCAGTACTCCCCCCAGAAGGTCGTACTGAGTGGGATAAAGGTTGATTTTATTTCTGCTGATGCAGAATAAAAAGATAACTTTCCAAACTTTCCACTGCTAGTGGTAGATTTGATATTCATTTGCTTAATCTAATAATTCAGTATTTGAAGGGGGAAAAAAGAGAACAACAATGAAGGTAGCAAACCCATTCTCTCTGAACAGAGGATGAGGCATTAGATGGAGACATGGGGAATATGAGTTCATCTCCTTTCTTGCCACCACTTATCTGTCTCCTCCTGGACAAGTCACTCAGGAGGTCTCCACAACACACCCAGAGTCCTGATGTTCACACCCATCCCAGTAGTGACATGACTCAAAGGATTGCCCTGCTTGGTAGCAGAGGCACAGTCCCAGCACAGCCAAGTGTCTGTGCTCCTTGTGTGTATAATGGGGATGTCCCCACGCTGAGTTGCTTGGATTTGTAAGCTCTCCCAGTCAGAGCTGGCTGATGTTTCAGATCCACTCCTTGTACAAAGAGTGGTAACAGTTCAGCCATGAGAGTGGAGAAAGTCTTGGCTAATTGTAAAAGAAACAGCTCCCTTCACTGAAGAATCCAAAACTCGTGACCAACGCAAGCCATGTCAAAAGCCTTACTGCAAACCTACCCAGCCCTGTCACAAAGAGCACTTCAAAGTCACACTACCCAGTCTCTTCCCCAGATGCTACTAGCAAAATCAGACACTAAAATACAAGCTGTTTCTACTGCATGTCACACCCATACATACATAGCACACTTCAAACCCGGCTTATAAATTCTTTAAGGCTCATTTGCAAAAAAAAAATACACCGGAAATTCAACTGAGTATACATTATGTAGAATGGGCTTGTTTGGCTCAGACAAAATTTGCTTTGAGATCTTTTGTCAGGAACTATTGGTTTCGTTAACAATCAGATTTCTCAGGGACATCATAACCACTTTTAACAGATCCTCACACTGGTTGAGGGGTTTGGAGTACTACTCACCTTGCACGGATGTACATACATACCTGCATGCATGCAAGCAATACTGTTACGCTCAGCGGTGCTGGTATTAAACAGAAAGCTAAACATGTGTATCATTGTTGATAGAACAGAGGACAAAGGTTAATATGAACATGTTTCATAGCTGCAAAAGCTAATTACTTAAGTTAAAGTGAATATAGTGTATATTGTTTAGGTCTAAGAAATCGTATGCAAGCATATTCGCATTTAATCATAAAGTATTTTAGTGCTTGTAATAGAACTCATTAGAAATAATGTTGGTTATTCTACAGCACAGTGCAGTAAGTTTGTTTTTTAACCATTAAGCAATAATAGAGACTTATGTGCCGTCCTTTACAGTTCTGCTAGTAGCAATGAAATAATATGAGTTTATATACTTACAAAGGTAACTATTTTTTTTTTAAATACAAGATAGGCTTTTAACGTTATCTGACATCTTCTTTAAAAAGGCCTAATTAAAACAAACAACATATTGATTTGACAGCTAAAGGTTTACAAGAAGTTTCATTTCTTCACAAAATCAAGGATGCTTGCCTAATTCTTGCCCACTCAGGACATCAATATAGGATCAAACACTTCTGAAAATCCTTTTCCCCCAGAGCAATACCTTTGAAATGTACATTCTAACCATGTCATCAGAAGGTATTCTTATGAGGGAAAGTTTTCAGGACTGGAGAACGTGAGTGAAAAAATCTAACTGGTCTTTCTGACAGTGGATTCAAGCACATTAAAAACTGTCAGCAAATTGAATCTTTCCTTTGATCAAACTACAAGGGCAATATTTTGCAGCCAGCTTTTATGTATGGACTTTGGGTTCAGCAATTTACCACTGCACCTGAAATATAATACTAGTATTTTTTTTAAAGTTAAATTGTACAAACGTTATGCAGACAAATTTCCCATAGGAATCATGTTTACATAAGGGCTGTAGAACAATGTGCAGAACTCCTCATAAGGGTGATCACCCTTTACTCCTAGAACTGAACCAAAAGTGTTTGCTACCTTTTAGTAACAGCTGGTAAATACCTTCTTGCATTTAGGTTGTATGTTAAAGGACCAGCTCAAGGTTCCTCAGCAGTGACATTTTGCTGTCTAAAGGAAGAAGGGAAAATAACCACCCAGGCCACTTGTTATTAAGGAAAGACAATTAATTAATAACATTCTTCTTTCCTGGTTAAGGAAAACAGTGTCTGAAGAAGCTGCTTTGCCACCCTAATTAAACCAACACAGCTACTGTCAGCCTGCTTCAGCCCGCTTCCATAAGGAACTGCTTACTGAATGGGTACTCGAAGCTCCTGTCTGATAGCAAAGCTAAGTAAAAGTGCATCACAGGACTCGTGGAGAAAAGGCAGGTGTTGTTTCCCAGCCTGACACAACACATTGATATTTCTAGTTTTGGCTCAAAATACGTGAGTATCCATGTGTATAATGCTGTAAAAACTATGGAGAACTCTTTGAAAGTATACATAAATGTGTGTCTCTTGAAATTACTAGATCATGTACCACTTGCCAAATTAGTTCCACTAAGCTAAAGCTTAAGGATCCTATGTCACTTGATGATCTGCAGGACACTTAAGGTTGGCTTAACGGAACTAGTTTTAAGGGTTGCTAGTAATGTCATTCTAATCTAGTGTATGTTGACTGGAACTCTTTCTGGTTTAAGATTATCTTAAAATTCCAAATGTAAGGTTAATGGGGTATTTTCTGTGTAATACCAGAGAAAGAGAGAGAGGAAAACTCAGCAAGATGACTTCAGAAGAGAATCGTTGTAACTCAGCATAGCTTCCAGTATATTCCCACTCATGCTAGGATTGTTGCTGGAGCTAATGAGGCTTGAGAACAGTTAGCACTGTCAAATCACAATGGAGTTCAGAAAAGCTTTTCTCTAACAAAGCTGTGAAAGCTGAAGACTTGATATGCTGAGAGAAACAATGATTCACATTGCAGACCGCACAATGTAATGCTGAATATTCATTCAGAATTAAGACCATCTACTTAATATTGTAGAATGAATTGGAATATTTTGAACGTTGCTCAGAAAGACAGAAATATCATAGAATCATAGAATCATAGAATCAGTTTGTGTTGGAAGGGACCTTTAAAGGTCATCTAGTCCAACTCCACTGCAGTGAGCAGAGACATCTTCAACTAGATCAGGTTGCTCAGAGCCCCGTCCAGCCTGACCTTGAGTATCTTTTAGTACTCATAGAAAAAGATAATACCTATAGAATAAGCTGTCTCCTATGACAAGTCGATGGGAAACAGAACTGTCAATTCATTGTGTGCTTCCTCCAAGAAATGCTACAGTGATAACCAGAGGATATTTCAGTAAAATAGCTGAATTATGCGCCCCCCTTTTTCAGTGGAGTAAAGACTAGCATTTAAGGCATGTTAGTCAGCATGCTACTGTATTGACTCTACTGAGTAAAGATTCTGTTCGGACACATACCATGAGATTTCTGCAGCAATGAGAGAAGATTTACTGGTAGACGATTTTCTCAGAATCAAGGTGATGATTTAAAAAAAGCTTGATGATGTTGAATTCCATCTAGTTCTAGTTTGGCTTTTAGTTCAGATGGAGTCAGTGAGGGAGTTAGCTGTGGAACTGGGAAAGCTTAACATGACGAACTGATGTTTGTGGAGACACACAAGTGAGTAATTTTTTTGTCTTTTTAGTGCGGTCTTTGTACTTGAAAGTTACATATAGCTCAGTAAGAAATTTGGGTGCAGGCAGCTACCAGGATCAAACTCACCGCTATATGATAGCTGTTTAAAACATGTGGTATGATTCAGTACGGAATCTTTAAACAAAACAGTTCTAGCTTGCGGCTGTTGCTACACAGACTGTATGCAGATAAGTCACAAATAGCTGAGCATATGTGCAGTGCAAGGTTAAAACAATAACAAGCAGGTCGAATCATTCAAACACTGGAAATCACTTTGACTCCAGGCCAAAAGCTTAGCTTGAGATGATATCAGTATGGGATAAAAAGAGGATAAACTAACAGGCTTAGCAGCCAGCTTGTTCGAGTCAGCATATAGTATCTATACTTCCAGCAGGAGAGCAGATGGTCATATATTTAAGGAAGCACCAGACAGGGAGTCAGGAGATCTGAGTTCTATTCCTGGCTCTGCAGTAGTGTTCCTATGTCACCTTGAGGAGTCGCTTTTTTCCCCTTTTCTCTTAATCTTTTAAGTAGAGGAAATAATATTTGCTTGTCTCACAGGGCAGTTGAGAGGCTAAACTGATGCTGAAAAAACGCTCTGAAGCTCTAAGAAGGATATATGGAAGAACTGCAAAGTAAACTTATTTGGAAGGAAGGACACTGCATGGTTTTGTATGGCATGTTTGTGCCATATGTTTACGACCTTTCCTCTCCCCAGAATGTCCCATGCCTTTTTGCACACAGTTTTCAAGGAGGGAATAAATGGATTAAGCTGCCTTCCCCATTTGCTAGAAAGATAAGCAGCTGCCAGTAAGAACCTGACCAAAGTACAGACTTTATTACTGAGAGAGCCATTATTTATGCCCAAGAGGGCAATAGGCTTGTTGAAGCTCTGTTAGTCCCAAGATATTTTTGCACTGGTGGCAGAATAATGTCTCTAATGGCTTTTATTCTGAATTCAGCAGTGCAGCTTGCAAGCTGAACGTTAAGTACATACTTAAGTATTGTCTTTTACGAACAAATCTTCTGCTGAAGCCCCCAAACAAGTCAATTTTCTAAATCAGTGAGAAACGTCCATGATTATTTGCACAGGACTTTAATCTAAAGCCCATTAAAATCAACTAGACTTCAAAGGAATTTGAATCAAAGACCTAGCAAGCAACTGTAATTTCTTCTGAATCGTACGCCCATTAAGCAAAATGACCTTATCTATCTTCATAACTATTTGGCATCATAGGAGTAATGTTTTCATCACAGAATAAATAGTTTCTGCTTTCAGCATGGAGGTGTAAGCTTTGGGCTGGAGTTGAACTTTAGCGCCTATCATGATTTGCTCCATTTGTGCATATCTTTTTTGTAAGAGGAAAAAAAAAGAAAGGGATGAAGCCTTTTGGTCTTTTCCTCTACGCCTCCATTTTTCTTGTTTCTAGATTCCGAGTCTCTGTCAAGGGATCAAACCCCAGTTCAAAGCCAGCTCTGGTAAATGCACAGACAACACTGCAGAAGACTTTCAAAACATTAGTCCATCTCACAGCAGTGGTGGAGACAAAGGGAGCAAAAGCAAAGGTTATCTGAGCAGATGTCCTCCAACTTGTTTTTCTGATTCCTCACAAATGGAGCTACCTCTAATCCTGTAAACTGCCTTCCTTCAGCTCTTCTGGAAGTCACTGTGTGTTGAAAATCTACATGGAGGGAAATGTTCGTTGTTCTCAGGTTCAGGCTGTTGAGCAGATTATAATGTGTGGCAATAAAATGGGAAGAATCTGGTGTGATTGATGAAGATGAAGATACTCTTCTCTTACATGCAGCCTGGTTTTGTAAGAACACACTTCTGAGCTAAGCTGTTCCTCTTTTATGCTGGGACAGTTCTGCTGCCTGTTTCCTTGATGACAGCCTTGATAGTCATGTAAGAGAACTTCATACTTTGCTAAGAAAGATTTACAAATATATTGTAATTACTGTTAATGTCTATTGCATTTGTACACAAACAAACTGACTTAATGGACTCTCTTCACCCAAAATCCATGCAGTTTTCTGCATTAAATCAGTATGGTACAGCTTTAATCCAAGAGAGAAACTGAGTGAAACAATTTATTTCTGAAGAACTGTACTATATGTCTAACTGTAGTCTATTAAGGAAGGAATCCAACTGTTTACTCTTGATATATGTATTGACCTGGTCCAACTCAAAGCAGTTTAGATGATGCTCTGATGTCCCTGTCTTTCCATTTTACAGGAATGTTAGCTGTTTTTTTCATGTCCTCTTTTTGGCTTGGAAAGTGACAGAATTGCCATTAAGAGGCCAAAGAAGTGCTCCACAAAGACACAAACACAGGAAGGAAGAGAGCAAGGTCGGAGCTTGTTTTAACAGTGTTCTCTTGTTCTTCCCATCTCTATCATTTTTATAAACTAATCTTCACCAGTTGCCATGGACCTTGCAGGTAACACATTCTCCAATGAATATCAACTTTGTTACAAAAAGTTTTCAAATATTTGAAGGTGTCATATAGAAAAATCTTCTTACTTCTAAGAAGTGCTCCAATAAGAATGTTGCTATTATATGAGTTTGTGGTTTAGGGTGTGCAACAAAAAGCTTGGAAAATTAAGAAAAAGTACAACTATTTAAAAGTGAAGTTAATGATTCAAAAAGGGCAGGTTCCCTTCCGGGATCAGTCTGGTTATATATTATAATTGTACAAATAAAGTGTTCAGTCGAGATCTAACCTCCTCCTCTTGCATTGTCGGGCTGGGTTCCTTGCACAAAGATGTGGCTTTTTCTTGGGATCATCTTTTCTCTGGGGTTGCTAATTCCTGGAAAACTCAGCTTGAAATTGCAATATGACGGGTGAGTGTGAACGGGGTTATCATGAAGAATTGTGCATGCAGTGAAATTCCCAGGAACTGTGTAGGAATAATAATAACAACAATTATGAACTGAAAACCTGGAGAAAGGGTTACTAAGCTGTAAGCTTTGTAAGATTTGGAAAGAAATCATAAAGACGGGAAATGAAGAAAGAGTGAACAAAATCCAAGCCAACAAAGACATGGCTGCAGCCGTAGGAGACACAGAATGCCTCTCAAATGGACCTCAGGATGCTCTGCTTCCATTAGCTGAAATTCATTTGGCTTAGTCTCTTTCATAATGAACTTTGAAATCAGATGCTGTAGGAATAAAATGCCTTTTCTGAGTATATGGTGGGAGGAATGACTAAGCAAAATTATATCCATTAATAAAAGATGGCTGAGGTTATGTGAAAAAGATGGTGTCTCAAAAGCAGTTCAGTATCTGAACCCCTGTTGGAAACCTGTAACAATAACAACAACAACAACAAAGCTAATGGAGTTGGTCCAGACACTTCAAGGTGTTCAAAGAATGAGATGATCACATTTTTTATTACTGATTAATGTTTTTGAAAAGTATGAAATGTCTAGTTTTGCTGTATTCTCCATTCTCAGTTCTGCTTCGTAAGAAAATGAGTGATGTAAAATTGTGCTGTTTCCCTATCTAAACTATGTTGTTTAATTCACCCTCAATTTTACAAGGAAGGATAGGTCACTCTGCCTTTACAGCAGCTGGGATTTGCAGGAGGGAAACAAATATAGTGTGGAGGCCAAGTTATCCACATATAACTTCATGCATGGGATTTTCTAAAGTAAATAGAGGAAGTAGCCCAGTGCTGAACGCCTCTAGACTAATTATATCCCCTGAATATAGTTTTAAAAAGGAGACAAAACCAAGCAATATCTACTGCAAGTAAGTTCCAAGTAATATACTTGTTCAAACTCCTGGCAAAGCTCCTGGCAGAGCATACAGAGTCACTGCTTTTCTCTTTAAAACGTGTTATTTAGCTTGGACAATATTTAATCTTTAGAGCTGTATCAGGGATACAGTCAGAGCCTGTCCATTTCACTGGATAGAATTCAAGAGGCTCTTGGTAATGTAGTGTTCATTTTTGTTTCTAATTGCTGTCCAGGACTGAACCTGTCAAGTATGTGCATGGGATTTAACAACACACTTAGTAGAATGGTCAGTGTGACTTTGGGTGCGCAGCAAAGGCGAAATGACTAGTAAAGCCCATTTTCATTGTCATTTGCTCTGTTCAACAACTTAAATGAAATATCCAATCTATGAGCATGCAAGGAAATGCAGCTTGTGCTGAGAAAAGTCCTTTGAATTGGTAAGAAAGCTTAACTGTAGTATTAAAAAAACTGTTGTTCTCACATGGTCACATGGGCTGACTTCGCACTTCTCCACTGAGAATCCTAGTCAGTAATCATAAATGAGTGTGTGCTTTCTAATCTTAGTTTACTATTAAAAATGATTTGTCTCCACACTGGCTATTGTAAAAGGTTTATCAGTAAATAAGAGCTGGCCATCTGGCAGCAATCTGACTGTCTGGCATTTCTTTCATTTGGTGTAATTAAGACATAATGTCAATGAGGATAGAAAGATATTACAGGATATTGTTTCCCTTCCTGATAGACAAAGAGCAAAGCAAGCCCAGGCATTTAGAGAGAATAAACTCTGAACTGCAGCTGAGATGTTTATTCTCCTAGCAAAGATGTTTATCCTATGTACAAGGTTCTATTACAAAGATATCATGGCTGTTGTACCAAATTGTTAGCAATGCAAATGTAATCATTTTGCCCCATAGATAAGGGTGCTATATGCTAACAGCATCTCCTGAACCAGTAGTAAACAGCCCATTTTAACTATCGAGTTCTACGTTTCCCTGTCATCAAAGGCGATATTTTCAAGAGAGATGTAAAAAAACCCAAATTCCCCTATTTTTCAGTGGATAATGTGAATGAATAGTGAATTCTATTTGCGTGTATATTAAGCTAATAATTGTTCATTTGTATATGGAAGCACAAATGATGACAGTTGCGGTTCAGATGATGAGAGCATATCGTATTGACGACCATGATTCACCATGCCAGGCTTTTGCAACAAGAATTTCTGTTACAAAAGCTTTAAAATGTAAAGTGGTCTTTTTTGTACTTGTCCTTTAAAGGCTTCAAGGCCCATTGAAGTCACTGAAGGAGACTGGGAAGCAGTGGTTATTGGTTACTAACAAATACGAATAACTCTTGGGTTCCCCATTCTATCACATCAGTAGTGGATAACTGCTATCTCACCTTCCAGTAATGTGATGTAGTCATCGAGATCCACTGTTCATTACAAAACTGTTTCATTAGAGATGTCACACTTGCTATCAGTCATGGAAAGTTGATCTGAATGAACACTGAAAAATAATTAGAAAAGTAATTACAAAGGGTTTTTTTAACAGAACATACAAATTCACTTTTTCTGCATTTCCAACAATTTTAATTTGTTCTTTGTAAACTTTCAATATTTTTTTCAGATTAAGTTTGAAGTAGATGAGAGTTTCATGAGGCCTCATGAAAATATATACTCCGACACTGGACCTCTGTGTCTTTTCTAGAAACATAAAATGATAGATCTTGTACTAGAAATTTTTGTTTCCCGTGAGTTAAGAATATGCAATTCTGGACACCACACTATTCACTATTTGTGGAATAAATTAGCTGTTCTCACGGCAACCAAGTTATTTTGTGAACATCTAAAGCTCTTAGCAATGTTCATTTATCCTGGCTATCTAATGTTTTTGCATGCTGAGGTAGATCAGCAAAGCACCAAGTCTATCTGGAATAACTGAATAATTGTCAAACAGGAGGAAAAAAAAGTGACAGCAAATAAACAGTGTATTATACATTACCAATGATCTTGTTTTGGCCCCAGCCCTGCAAAGGCAGAAACACGCACCAGGGCTCATGTGAGTAGTTGGCTTCAGTGAAGCTAGTATGCTGAATAAAGAATTGCCACTGGCAAGGCAGCAGAGTTAACCTAATGCTCTAGCAACAGAAAACCCACATCACTCAGTTCTATTTGTAGCTAAAACATTCCAGAAACTCATCACTCATATGCTTTTGTTGGAACAGCACTCAGCTACATGCTCTGTTTTCCTTCTACATAAAATATATCCTTTTCACATATGAAATCATGGATACTTCAACAGACATTAAAACTAATCTTGTTTCTCTGCTGAATTTCCAGGGATCAGGTTTTGCATATTGTGCCAGAAACATTTCAGCAAGTCCAGCATCTTCAGCATCTTTGCAGCACTTCACTGGTGAGTAAGAATAACCACGTGTGCCCAAAGAGCAAAGCAAGGTCTTGGGCTGTAAAACAGATTTGCATGTAACTTTGGACAGGAACGAAGGTTAAAGTAAACTTGAAAATGCTTTAACTGTTTTTTTCTTAGTGCAGGGTGGAATTGCCCTTCCACTATCTGAAGAAATTTATGGGAAAAAGTTAGTTTCCTTGCACGGTTCTGTGAAAGTGCTGCTCCTTATCAGCGGTGCCCGAGTCAATGGAAACACTAAGCCTGTGTTGCATGCTCTATGAACAGATGGCTGGAGAATAGTTAAGGGGAGAACTGGAAGGGAAACTTCTTCCATGTATTGATATGCAGCTACTCTATCTTAATTATATTTTCTTTTTCTGAAAACAAAGCTTGAGTTTTGCATTTCTTTCTTCTCCTCTGCACAGCTGGATTTGTGGAAGCCCCAGCTGCCTGAAGACATCTCGGCTGGAGAAGACCTGCACATAAGGGTCCCAGCCCCTCTGGTGCAGGAGGTGAAAGACAGCTTAGATCAGCATATGATCTCTTACAAGTACGACCTCTAATTTCCTGATGGGAAAGACTGGCTCTAACAATCTTCCTTGCTGTCGCAAAAGGACCTAGCCCTTTCCAATGAACAGTCAGCAAGTACTGATAATAGGACCCAATAGGTTCCAAGTGCCTCCAACTTACCTTGACCTGGCCAATGCACAGATGCTACATATACCTTTGAGTTTTAAAAGCACATTCCCCTATGCCCTGTTTATTCATCTTCCAACTAGCCTGGACTGTGACTTTGGAGCTGAGATGTGAAACAGTCCAATCATCTGGCTTGTTTCCTGCTGTTGCCTTCTCAGTGGCAGAGGCTGGCACTCGATATATGACTCAGTTTTTTAGCGTAAAGTCAGGAAGCCAAGCTTGGTACAACCACCACTTATAGGAACATGCTTTGCTCTTAGAAATTAGGGATACTTGAACACAGGGTCCTCTCTTTTTTGGAAAGCCCAAAGGTTTAATCAGTGTCACCGCAGAGAAGCAGTCTCTGTACCTCTCCTTTCCCCGTTCCCGTCTTTTGTTGCTCCTCTGGTTTGGAGGAAGAGCCCTTTCAAATCAAATATTCAGCTGGTTTCTTCAAAGCTGCAGTTTCCTATCCCTATCCCCTCCCTGTCAGGCTAGTAAGAATTTCCTAGTGTCATCCAGTCAAACAGAGACGTCTCAGCCTGGGACAAAGGTCCTGGTGGCAGGTCACTGTACACACTATTAGGAGCCACAAGCTGCAGATGGCACATGATGCTTTATCACACCTACCCAGCCACACATCTTCACTAGCTGCCATGCTTCTACTTCCAACCAGAAGATCTAATCCCGATACAAAGAGTGTTTATAAAGACAAATGGGATTAAATAAAACCTATTACTCACACAGTCTCATTCCCATTTGGCACTGACTTTTCCAGGTAAACAGCAGCTAGCTATATTTCATATAAACAATCCTGTAGTCATTCAGGGCTGCTGACAAACGGCCTATGGACATACACTGACAGTTACCAATCAAAGATAAGTCAAAGGAGGATTGGTGCCACTTCAAAGCTGGTTAGAGTTAAAGCTGATCTTGACATCCTGCATCTTACCTGACAAATTCTTTTTAGTAAGTATGATGGCCTGACAACAAGAGATGGAAAGAGATGAGGTAGGAGCTGGTACGAATGATCTAGCATCAAGCTGAGGTATTCACATTCCAGAAGATATTTAACCTCTTATTTATATCAAGGCTCTTCATTTTCTAATGGTTTCACCTGATTGCAGCAGAAATTTAAATACTAAACTGAAGCTAGCAGCTTAATCTTTTTTTTTTTTTCTCCCTTGGACTGGGGCCAGAACAGTATTCACCTGTGTAGGGTCCTGAAGAAAGAGGTGGGTAACTCAGTAGTCAAGCTGAAATTTTGGTTTTGTATTTCAAAGGGGTTGAGATGAGTACAGCAATGTTAGAGTTAAATTTCCTATAACAGATTCAAAGCAGGAACCACCTTTTAGAAGGCAGTTGACATGCAAGGAAGGTAACATGACAGTTAGGTGTATATAATGATAGAGACATAAATGACAAATTATAATCAGGACATCAATATTCTGACTGTGTCAGACTCTGAGATTTCAATTCTCCAGAGCTCTGATAAGGCATTTTGCGTGTGTGGTTTCAGTTCATGGGAATTTGCACTGCCTAAATTTTAGTTTGAAGTTCAGATGTGAATAAACATCAAAGCTCAGAGTGAAAGTCAGCTGTAGCTACTTTTAAAAGTTTCTTATGTGCAATTCCCAGAAATGCCATCTGTGCTACTGTCAGCAGAATAGCCCATTGGCACTGACAGTGGCTGAAACCAACGATGTTTAAGCTACCTTTGCAATTGTCTAATTGCAAACATTTACAATGCTCGCAGCTTTGTAACAGTGTTACAAGGGGCTGATGCAGAGAGAAAGCACAGTGTGTGATTCAAAGTCCTCTGAAGCCAAGGAAAAGGTTTTATTGACTCCCTTGATCATGGAATCACGCCTGTGCTATACTCATTTCTGAACTGATTTGTAGCTAAAAAGCAAGAAGAGCTTGTTGAAGGAAAGGGGGGTTTTGTTTTGATTTTTGCACATTGCAATGAATACTTCTGTGAAGTCTTTGCAGAATGAAAACGTCTCCATAAAATACAATGAAACACTAATCTGAAATTTTTCATTTTTCCCTCCTTTTCTCAAAAGATGGTATTTTAGAGTTTTGCCCAGAAGTAGAAGTGGTGAAGAAAAGAAAGATATTGAACATTTTTTTTGAGAAAATTGTCAAACTTTAAAAAAAAGTTAGTAAAATTATTACTTTGTTGTTAAAACCCAGTGAAAATCTCAGTACTTTGAACCTTCTCTTACATGAAAGCAACCATTATGCTGATGGTGATGAATGTGCCAGGCAGTCCCCCACAGAAGGGGCTAAATCCTTTCATTTATTGATGTAAGCAATGTACCCACCATGATAGATTTGCAGTAATTCTTGAGGATTATTTTCTTGTCTATCTCCCTCTTTCCCCTCCCTTCAGAGTCCTAATACCTGACATGCAGGAACTTGTGGACATGAGCATGCCGAGGGAGAGAAGCAGCCAGAGACAGGTCTCAGAGGGTTATGACTACACACAGTATCATTCAATGGAAGAGGTAAAGAGGAACCCAAGTCTGCTTGCTTTCTTTGTTGCTGTTATCTCATTAAAAAATTTTTAAAAAGCAACTTCGTGCTTGCAGAAAGCTCTCAGCTGAAGTTAGTACAGCTCTTTCTGGCTTTTTTCTTTGCAGAATCAGTCCTTACACTTTGACTAGACTCTCTGCCTGGTTGAATTAAACATGAATTTGCCATTGATTTTGATTAAATCCTCAACTCCTCCCCGACCAAAAGCTAAATGCTGTGTGTGAAGCAGCCATATTGTTTTGCAAATAATATTCTGGGGTTCAGTTGATTGGTTTGCTACCTTTCTACCCCGTTATGATTTATCATTATCTCTAGTATTTATTCATTTAAGCCCCAGTATGTTTGATGTTAAGCCAAATGTGAAGTGCAATGATTAGTGCAGTCTCTGGAACCTCAGTGAGGAAGAAGAGGTGAACAGTGGGAGACCTGTAGGAAGAAGTAATTTAAGGACAGGTTTTTGACACTTCGGGAAAGAATAATGTCATGAGGACGGGTAGTGTAGGCTTCTTGGTGCTATATTTCACAGATCAATGGGTAAGCCTGGACAAAGGCAGAGCACAGTGATATTCTTCCTCCTGGTCACATAGTAAGAGTGAGAGAGCAGAGTCAATCCTCATGTACACGTTATCTGAACTACCCATTGGGCATCACTGCCGCTGAACTCAGCTGTGGAAAATCGGCACTGATAGGGAAGAGACTATAATACTGTTCTGAAGATTTGATGGTGTGGCTCCACGTCTAATGAAGTCCACAGAAAGATGCTCAAAAGGATGGGCATGTTGAATAAGATCCAGACTGGAGTATCAGTGTTGTATTGCAGTGATATTATCTTTCAATACCCAGTGAGATATGACCATGCCTTCGCTCAGAGGTGAGTGAAAGGCCTTCCATGAGTGTTAAGTGATATCCCAGACTGAAATAAACTCTGAGGAAAATGTTGCTTGTCTAAGCAAGACAAAATCCTTTAATCTGGAAATGGAGGTGGGAAAGAGAAGGAAACTCCCACTTTGGACCAAGAATTCTCTGTGACTATTTCAGATTTATCAATGGATGACTCAGATCCAGGAGAACAACAGTGAGCTGGTGACTCAGCACTATCTGGGGAAAACAGTTGAGAATCAAACAATGTATTATCTGCAGGTAAGGGAGGAACTTGCTTAAAAATGATAAAAGGTATCTTCACAAAAAGAACACCAGAGAAGACAGGGTTCAGATCTTCCGTAAGGGAGTGCTCATTTTCTGTGACAATCCCAATTCACTGAAATAACACGAGATGGTTTTACTCCTCTATAGTACAGTAAGATTTGCCAGCTTTCATATACACTATCACCATAACCTTGCTATTGCTATTACGCAGTGAAAACAACAAATTTAACTGAAGTCTTGTTTAGAAATACAAATCAAGCTGAAACTAGCTTGGCAACAGCTGTATGTGAGGATAAAGAGTTTTGCTTTGTTGTTTTTATTACTTCTTACAGCATAGAACCTTTCTGCCAGGAGTATACCATGGCACTTTTTATTGGACACTCTAGTAATAATCATAGTCTTAGTAACTGGGTTAGTTGTTGTCTAATCTATTCCTGAGTAAAAAGTAAAATTAGATTCCCTGCCTTTTTGTGCTTCCTCTTCTAAAAAAAAAAAAAAAAAAGAATTTCAAAGAACAATCAGTCCTGTAAGTGACTAGTATAAATGAAAAAGAAACTGTTTTATTGACATTCCTCCTCAACAGACACTTTAAGACTCTTGCCCTGAGATACTACAGAGACGGGGTTATTAGGAAAGAGAGCTTGTCATAGTGATGTCTGTAATAATAATCTCAGATAGCTCAACGGCATATCAAAGCACATCCTTTTCTTTCTGTATTACACTAGGCTGTTTTATTGTAATGTAACAGTTTTCCAAATGATCATTTTTACACTCTCTCAGATCAGCCAACCATCAGATAAAACCAAAAAGATCATTTGGATGGACTGTGGGATTCATGCCAGAGAATGGATTTCTCCAGCCTTCTGTCAGTGGTTTGTGAAAGAAGTGAGTCCTCACTTTTCCGCGTTGATAATTAAAAAAAACCCATATCACTTTGGATACTTCAGTTCTCTATCATGCTGCCAAACATTATGCTCTTTCTGTTAAAATATGATTTTCAAAATTAGTACATAGTACAGATATCTGTGGAGACTGAAGTCCAAATCACAGTTTGAGATGAGATATGGGACAATATTTGTTAGCATATTGTTTCCTCCACCTGGACTGATTCCAAAGCCACTGAACTCGATAGCAATCTCTCCATTTCCCACAGTGGCTTTTGGATCAAGCCTCTCTGCTTCACAAAGCCACAGTCGTTCTGGAATACGCAACCCTAAGATATGATACAGCAATGTTACATGTATACTGAAAGTACCTGGCCCACAGGTACACCATCATGCAGTTTTCACACGTCTGAGACTTTATTCATATGAAATACACCGTAACTGGACACACTGACACTTTGTTAATGGCAAAAGATAGAGACCTCCACATATCTGAGGATCAAGCAGATCTTAAATACCACAGTGATATCCAGGAGTGAGTAATTGCCCACTAGATTCTCTGCTCAGTCCTCTATTTTTTCTTTTCAGATTCTTCAAAATTACAAATCTGACCCAAACATAAGCAGATTTCTGCAGAATTTGGACCTCTATGTTTTGCCAGTCCTCAATATTGATGGTTACATCTATTCCTGGGAAAACGTAAGTAGTGAAAATCCAGGAAATGGATTGAAAGTTGGATGCCCACAGCATATTTTGTTAATTTTAGATACAATCATAGCAATTAAACAGAGAACAGTGACAGAATCATTACTCACACAAATCTTCTCATAACAGAGAGGGTTTTTTTCTTCTGTTAAATCAGCAGTCACTTGAGATTACAGAGCTAAAAATTCGTAGCAAATATCATGAGCCTTCGGAAGAGAGAAGGACAAAACCACACCATCAATTTTTTTGGTGTTTCTGGGGATGGACTTTCTTCCTTGCTCACAGCTCAAGGCTTGGTTGATGGAATTAAGCGTGTCTGAGGATTCGGTCATTCTTTGCAAGAGATCTCAACTAGCAGATGGGTCTAAGCACCTTTCCTGCATGAGGCAGGAGGAGAATTGGTCAAATATTGGACTATTTGGTTTTGAAATCGATGTGCCCTCCCAAATAATCTTTCTTTTCTGACACGGAGGATAATGCAAAATGTTGGTCTTCAGCAACTCTCATCATGCTTCCAGGCTCCTGAGCCCAGTAGAAACACCTTTTAATGCCGGACCTCAGCATGGCCCAACAGGCTCAGCCTACCGCCATGTGCATCCTCCTGCCTCCCAGCTTGGTCACCAGCAGGTTTGGGGCATATTACACATTGCACTTGGATGTACAGGTAATTCAGCTGGGAAGCTCATACAGACAGTGCAGTGAGGTCTCCTGAGAACCAAGTATAGCAGTGAGTATAGCACGGAACCAAAGAGCAGCAGCAAGATTAGCTGACAAAAAAGCATTCATCTTCTTCAATCTGAAATAAACATAAGTTGAGCTATCATCTCTTGGTCACAGAGATACCCCTGACAAAGCCAAGCCTTTCTTAGGAGTGCAACACTATGTGGAAGAAGTTGAGTACTACATAAACAGCATATTTTTTTTTTATAAAGCTCAGGAGGTTCATTTCAAGGTGCACATAGGCTTGTGGAAGATGACGCCTGGCTGTAGCAGATAAAATGTTCTATCACTAAGCTTTATCACCCTTGCACACAGAGTTGCACCCTAACAATGCAAGAGTTACTCAGAACGCAGAGGTCCAAACTAAAGGAATCTTTCACCATATTATCACTAGGGCTTATGGATCATTGACTTGTTATTATGTAACTGAAGTTACTTTTGTTTAGGATCGTTTGTGGAGGAAAAACCGTTCTCCATATATGAATGGCACCTGCTACGGGACAGATCTGAACCGAAACTTTAACTCCTCCTGGGGCAGTAAGTTCCAAGCATTTCAGATCAGCAACGCAAATGTAAAGCAAGAGTAATAACTAGTCTCTGAAATAAGATGAAGTCCTATAAGAAACAGATACTCACCTTGTTGTCATCAAGACATTTGTAAAAATAAAAGCCTGGTTTGTAAAAATATTAAGTCATTGACTTGCAACTGGCATTTATTTTTGTGAGCAGAAAACTGCTGCTTATATAACTATACCTCTAATTCACCGCAGGAGGAAGCATCAGCTCTAAGCAGCAATGTTAGGAGTCAGTCACTTAACAGCCAGCAGTTGTGTTTCCCATTAATTTCAGGGAGCCTCCATAGCTTCCCTGGCAGGTGGTACACTGTGGTGGTGTCAGAGTGTTTTTGTTGCAGCCAGCCTGTAAATGTGCATTAAATATTTCAGTCTTGTAGCAAATTTTAGTTACTACCAACAGAGTTAAATGTTAAAGTCCCACTGGGCTGTCTAGTCTCCCTGCCCACATAAACCTATGCCTTAACGCTCCAAGGTAAATTTCCCTATTTCCTCTGAACTGGCATTCATATGCCTCTCCTTTGATTCACTTTTTGTATTCCTCTCCAGGTATTGGTGTTTCTTATAACTGCAGCAGTGAAATCTTCTGTGGATCTGGACCAGAATCAGAGCCTGAGACAAGAGCTGTGGCTCAGTTTATCGAAAGGAAGAAGAGTGACATTTTGTGCTATTTAACAATTCACTCCTATGGACAGTACATCCTCACTCCATACGGTTCCACAACTGAACCTCCAAGTAACAATGAAGAACTGGTAGGGCAAAACATTCATCTTCTACACTTGTAGAGAACAAGCACAGGCAGAAACATGCGGCTCAACTCTATTTGCCCTTCTGCCTTTCTTTCAGAGCAGCTGGGCTTATTTAGGGGCCTGGCTCCTAGAGTTACTGCTGCTCCTCACATTGCCCACATAGAAAGGACAGGTTATGGGCTGACATTGGCTCCCCTTTCCTGCTCAGCCATGAAAACAGGAACCATCCTGCACAGAGTTTAATATCTGCATTAGCTCTGTGTATTTAAATTATCTTCTCTGGGCTTACAACTCCTCTCATGTCTACGTAATAATATATCGGAGCTCTTAGCTTCTATTTAACACTGCTTTCCTGTCCTCTAAAACAGAACCTCTTGTGACAATGATTTAGCGTTTCTATGGAGGGAAGGTGAAGTAACAAAGGAAAGAAGTAGCAACTTTTCTTTAAAGAAAGCTTCCTTTGAGGCAGGTCTCCAGGGCTTTAGAACCATAGAATCCTAGAATCATAGAATGGTTAGGGTTGGAAGGGACCTCAAAGATCATCTAGTTCCAACCCCCCTGACATGGGCAGGGAAACCCTCCACTACACCAGGTTGCCCAAAGCCTCATCCAACCTGGCCTTGAACACTTCCAGGGAAGTGTTAGCTGCTCATTTCCCTAATGTAGGCCTGTGGTCTCTTCATCTGCCTTGGTTGCCTGTTGTATATGCAGTATCAGCAAGGCTTGTTTGCCTGAGAATTAATCCTAATCCTTCATCTTAAATGAGGAAAACTGAATTATTACAGATAAATATTACAGGGTTACTGCAATGCAAGGTAAGTGGAGAAGAGCACCGAGTTCTTGCTGCCTACAAGAATTTAGGATGCCAGCACATTATACACACATGGTTCTCACAATTGTGTCCAGAAAGGGTATTCCAAATGTGTTCACTAGGAGAATGGGAGTAAAGTAGGCACCTACTTCTTGGTTACTTCTCCCCAAATTTCTGAGTGTTCGAATTTCAGTTCATTAACATGTATATTTATGAACATTCCAGTAGTTGGAGCATGTCAAGAGCATGAGGGACTTGGGTTCAGACTTCATATGAGTCATTGGAGAAGTAATTTAGTCTGTCTATGGCTCAGTTTCCGAAGATGGTGAGATACCGAGTCTATGGCAATAGAACAAGTGAAAGAGATCAGTCACCACTGTGGTGAGCAGCAGTATGCTATACAGCATAGGCTCTAATCTTCCAAATACAGCCCTCTAGCTTTACAACAAAGCAGACACCTTCTCTACCTAACAGCAGAGCCATTTTGAAAATTTCAACATAATTTACATTAAAATATCAAGAACAATTTGCCCAAATGTTTGTAATGGGTTTCTCCAAAGTCCTGAACTAATAATATTAAAGCTGATCATATGTAAATGTAAAGCTGAAAGAGACAAAAATTTTGGTCCACTCCAAATAATTGCCAAATGCACTGGTACTGACGACAGATGCTGTTCCTATTTTGAACTTACAGATGTATGTTGCAGAGAAAGCAGCTGCTGCGCTGATGGGAAAGTATGGGACCAGTTATGAAGTAGGATCAACCTCTTCAATTTTATGTAAGTTTCTTTATGTTTCCCTTTGATTGCTCTGTTTTTCAAAGAAGAGTGTCATTCTTGTGTCACAGGCATCAGTAAGGACTGTTTTGCTGAGTTTCCTCTTCGAGTAATATTTAATGAGTTGGTTCAATGCAACATCTAAGCAGCAGTCATTTGAATACAAGGTAACACTGTACGTTATAAAGCTGACTGCAGGAAGGAAGGAAGCATTGATCAGAAGCTAGTTCCTACATGAATTCCTCACAGATACATCACAGGGGACAGAGGAGATGGGTGATAGATCATCCTGATGCTGCTGAAGTCAGCAGCAAAACTCCTATTTGTCTTCACTGGAGTCAAGAAAAAATTAAAATCCCAATCAAGTCTATCGTTACTCCATCAGATGTTATCACATGGCAGCTGTTTGCAGTTCTGTGTGAAATATGTTGGTTTCAGCAGCATTCCTAATAGACCGGATAGCTACATCACGAACACACCATCATGGCTGATATTAGATGACAGCCCTTACATAGAGGACCAGAGAACTCTAGAGACTGCCTGGTAAACCCAATCTTATCCCAATAAGCAATAAGTCATGCTACTCACTCAGAACAGTAAGCAGTTGGCTCCAGTACCCATGTAGTTTTGCATATTCACAGTGTCTGTATGTGCCAGTCTCCGAGTCACACCAGTCACCTACTGCACGAGCAATGCAGTGTAAGTCTAAGGTAAATTGTCCATGCCTAGGACTGCATTTTGCCAGGATTTGTACCTATACTGAATAGGTAAGAAAAAAGATCCACGAGGCAGATGAACAGCGATACAGGTAGTAGGCGGGAATTTTTGAGTCTTGATCAAACCTATGCTTAAAAACCAACACACAAAGGAATTTTAGGCAGTGTCAATGTGGGAAATGAAGTATCAGAACAGGCAAACGGTCAACCCATCTTGTACCCCACATTAGTCACAGTAAAATGCTAAAAACACAGAATCGCTGGAACTCACCTCTTGTTACTGTACAATACCATCTTATGAAGAATTGTTTCACTTACAAAACTCCATGGAAGACTTTTAGTATAATTAAGAATCACAGCACCTAGAAACTCTGCTCTCCATGTGACAGTGATATACAGCTACTGCTTAGTTCAGGGATTCTGGTATAGTCTTGCATTAACTATAGCAAAAAGATTTTTCAAAGAACCATGCTTAATACATATCTCTCTCCTCTATTTTCAAATTCACAGACAGTAACTCAGGCTCCTCACGGGACTGGGCTCACATGATTGGCATTCCTTTCTCCTACACATTTGAACTGCGAGACAAGGGTACTTACGGATTTGTTCTACCCTCTGAACAGATCCAACCCACGTGTGAGGAGACTATGTTGGCTGTGACAACTATCATAGACTATGTTGATGAGAAGTACTTCCCAAGTGGGGCTGTGAGGCTGACCACCACCAGCCTGGGCCTGAGCTTTTGCATGAGTGTTGTATTTACATGGACTGTTTCTTAAAAAACGCTTAGAGAACCCAGCAAGACTCCTGTGCAAAGTATAATGCCCTTTTGAAAAGACAAAATTACATGAGCAGAGGAACTAAATGTCAAGTATTTCAATAAAGGCTCAACCCACAAAATACAAGCATACACTTGTGGTTTTGATAGCTGTGTTTCAGGTAAGGAGGAAAGGATGGAGAGCTGTGGTAATTTCCCAAGCTTCACTTGCTTGCTCTGCAAGAAGCCAGCTTGAGTACACACGGGGACAGAGCTCCATTACTCCCTGATTCTTGGGCATGTTTTCAGGGGCTCATCTGGGCCCATGCAGCCTTTCTGTCAGCCACAGTCCTGCTCCATCACAATTCTCCCCACCACCTGACCCTGCTGACTCCTGGGTCTTGCTGGCACTAGCAGGACATCTGTGAAAATTAAATGTCCCCAATTCCTGCTACAGAAAATTAAGACAGCTTCTTTGACAACCACCTTCCTTCCTTAAACTGGCACATTGGGATTTACCAGAAAATACAGAACCTCAAAAGCTGGTGAACGGTCATAATGAGGCGACCATCAGCAGCAGTCTGAAACAAGCTGACAAGCTGAGCAAGTGCAAGTGTGTAGGGACAGATAAGAGGGGTGGCCTTGTCACCGAGATGTAGTCATATTAGTGAAGATGGAAACTGCCTAAATGCTTTAAAAATATGACAAGGAAGGGGAAAGGAAGATGGAGGATGGAGTGCTATTCCTACAGAGCAGACCAAAGAGTGATTTCTTTGTGTCCTCAGCTTCCAGAACTGTGTGGTGGCTACAAATACTCCCCTAAAGTCAGATTCCTAAGGGATTTAATTACATGTAGTGGGAAAAGAAAGCCTGTTCACAGAGAAGTGCCTTTCTAACAAACCATGTTAATCCTGTTGGGTGGCTCTCCATCCCTTGGGAGAGCCTGCAGCCTGCAGGAATCTGCCTGGGATCCTCGTGCAAAGCCGGAAGGTCAGTGGAGTGCCAGAGGAAACAAAACGTTTCAGCCCATTGAGCAAGGACCCTCTGCCTGAGCCGCTAGAAAAGAAACGCCAAAGAAAGAGCTCCCGTGTTGTTACAGCCAACACCAGAGGGTGCAGGACATTCACTGAAATAGAGAGAACCTGTTTTAACCTGTACTCTGCTTTTGAATCTAGGAGTCCCGCATCTCAGAAATATGTCCACCAGGCTTGACTATTTCAGATAATTTTTTTTTTTTCCTGATAGAAAATGAAGAGTTTGAGGGGAAAAGGTTTTGTATGAAATGTCTGATTTTCTTAGCAAATTTCAAGATTCTGCTTGAAAATTGGAAGTGTTCTAACCAGAGATTTTCTACAAAATACTTCCAACTTTGGGGAAGAGAATGCTTTTTTTGCCCCCCAACTGCATGAAGGCTAGTGATGGCAAATACATATAGAGAGCTTCTGCCAGAAAACTCACAGATACAGGACATTGAGAGGACTGTCCTCAAGTTATAAAGTACAGCGAGACTCAGTGACTTGATTAAGATCTCATAGAGGGTCTGTGGCAGAACTTAGAAAATCCTTTTGTTCAATTCTCTTCCAATGCTGCCAAGGACGCATATCACTTAACAATGGTACTGTTAGAAAAAAAAAAAAAAGACAAAACCTTGCAGTCATTTTTCCAAAGCATATCTTACTGTCATTTTGTCTGTACTGTCAGTTGACAAATCTTAGCTCTTGTATTCATTGTCCAAAGATTATTACCAATTGGTGTAGCTAAATCCGTCTAACTCCTGCAGGTTCCCCAGAGCATAGTCCTTCCAGACCAACCACTCATTTACAGTAAGACCCGTCTGTTGCTGGGCTCTGTAGCAGAAGGTGTCACTAATTAGCACTTCTCCCCACAGGAGCATCACTCCCCAAACTTATGCTTAGTTCAGGATGTGACCTGTAAGTCTCTGTATTCGTATATTGTGTCTTTGGAACTGTAAGAAACAAGACAAGTCCATCTGGCCCATGACTGTGAGCTGTCTTTAAGCAAGTTGGGTTTGACCATGAGTGTTTCATAGCCATTTGCTGGCAAATGGCAGTGAATCTCCCTGGTGCCACCAGCAGCAGATGGCAGTGCTCTCTGGGGACCATGTCCACACACTCACCTTGCCAAAGCCAACCCAAGCTTGAGCTGCCACCAAGCACTTTCCAAAACTAACCCATGACTGCACTGGTACAAAAATGCTGCTGGCCAGGGCTTCTTTACTGGATTCAGAGCCATTGCACAGCCTGGACAACTAAAGCCAGAGAAGAAGGGAGCTGTTTTTGCTGATCTTGGGTATTTTTTGATAAAATTGTTTACCACTACAAGATACAACCAGGTGTGTCCCAAAGTTAATTAGCAGGTTTCTGTGGACTGGCTCAGTCTCTCATTAGCTCCTCTTGTAATAACCGCCATCAGGCAGGAGAAAATGCTCCTGTACATGCACCTAAAGGGGGGATGAGGGGAGATTTTTACCTCCAGCATTCCCAGCATTCGTGAATCACAGAAGCAGAGAGGAAGACTTCGCCAGAAAAAAAATTAGGTATTTGGCAATAATCATTATCTAGAAGAACGTCTGCTACTATCCGCACACTGATCACGCCTGGACTTACAGCTCCTTGGATGTGTCAGCAATGACTCACCCACTTTGCATAATGAAACCACAATGAAGGTTGTGTGGAAGCGGCACCTTGCCCCCATATTGCCGTTGCGGAACAGATGTCCTGCAATGAGTGCTTACAGCCCCTTTTAGGAACGATCATCGCACAAGCAAGCCACAACCACTAAAAGGCCCAGGCTGCAGTGAATCGATCTTTACTAACACTACCCGGTCTATATTTCACACATCCTCCCAGTTTCCTGAATTCTCTGTGTACCTTTTGTGATTGTAGAAGAGTGGTATGTATGGCTGACAAAAATCACTGCAGAGAGGGTGTATTTTATCAACCATGTTATGCAAAGGAAAATTTTAAAGAAAAACACAGTATGGATGTCTCTGTTGAAACTCCTGCATTCCTTTGTTGCTTCCTCTGACCCTTGCCAGGTTTTGCTTTATGATAAAGTGTGCAAAAAGCCACATTCTGATTTCTTGTGTGTTAGCAGAAGCACAGCATTATCCTACTGAGACAACAGTGTGACTTTAGATTTACTTATGTGTAAACATACGGAAAGCTAAAAGTTATCATGCAAAACTATAAGATTATTTTATTCATTGTTGTTCCTCCTCAATAATTTTACCAAGATCCATGCCCTTTCCCTTTCTTTCTCACAGTTAAACACTCAAATCATGTTTGCTTTATTATGTAATTAGTATTGTGAGGGATTAATTACTTTTGGTCATTCAGGTTATTGAATAAAAACAAGGGCATTCCAGTTCTGAGTAGCAGCCTTCTATATTATCCTTGTTAACTTTTTGTCTGTAATACAAAAATAAAGATTGAAGAAAGGGCCATCAGTAATCTCATTCCATTTCATGCAAGGAGCTCCTCTCTCTGTTAATTTCTCCTCCATGCTACGTTAATTTGATACAGTCCTCAGGCTCCTGACAAGTTAGCAACACTGTCCTCATTAAGGAAAGTGAAGATATCACAAGGGAACTTTAATATTAAATGAACGTGTGTAGCCTCATTTTTTAGAGCATCACATGATGGAAGAGCAAAAATCTACAGTTTTGAGGAGAGTGTGGGAAACACCTCTGTCAAATGACCTTTCTAGGGAAGCACTTGCAATGCAAGTTGTTACTTCCTGATAAACTTATGCTCCAGAAATCCACTCAAAAATTATTCTTAGATTGTGTATGAAAACCGGAAACAGTCTTAGCTGGAACAAATCTGCCCAGAAACACAGAAAAATGTTTTCAGTGTGTTCCAGACATTGTTGTAGATGGAAATGTATTGATTTATGACAGCTGAAAACCTAGCCATTTGTGTCCCAAATCTCTATAGCCAAAATTCCCCTTTTTTCAAGGTAGCCTGGGACCTACTTCAGATAGAAAGGCCAGGCTATGAATGGAAATCAAAGTATCCTGAGCGGGTCTTGGGTTCCCTCAGCCTACAACCCGAAGGTATTCATTGTCCTGGTAAGCTCTGTCTCACTCTCTGTGTCTTCTTTTCGCTTCATTTAGAGCTGGGTTTTCTTGACTGGATGGGATGTCCAGTTATACCATACGCAAAAAAACACAGCAGAGCCCATTGCTTTGATGAGACACGCTGTGCTCACAATTTCCTTCCACATATATGGCTGGCCAAGGCTGCTTTGTTTTCATTACTGCCAAGCTGAGAAGGGACCAGTAATAAGAAAAAATAAACAGAGGTTATGACTGGGCATTAGAATTAGCAAACTTGAGTACTCTTAATGAAAATCTTGTCTAAAATGCATTTTGTATTTCCTGCATCCTCCTTTCAATGGATCTGAATGATCCTTGTTGGTATAAAATATAAAGGAATAATTTGATGACAACCTGTCATCACTTGCTCCTGTCTGCCAAATCTCACTGTGTCTGTTTATGTGCATGGTAGGCATTCATAAAACCAGCTTATTTTCTACAAGTTGGCAAACAATATGAGTGTGCTATTCACAAGGCAGCCAGTGGCAAGCAGAAAGAGCAAATGCAGTGTCATGCTCACGCTTTTTAATTCACCTTGGTATATTGACCCAAGGTACATCCCATCACAGCTGTGCTCTGCTGTGTGGGAATGCCTCAAACGAAAGCAATGTAATTCAGCAAGAGGTGGTCAGGACAGCATAGTACCAACTGCAAAGGAAAATCCGCAGAGGAGGGAGAGCATTTGCAAAAATGATGAAAATTTATTGTGCTGACAAAGATCCAAATAATACTGGCATTAGTGGTGGAAAACAGGAAATGAGTAGGTCACAGACAGACTAATAATGCCATTTTTCCTAGCTTTAGCTACCTCTGTATAAGTGTCTAAATGAGACAACCCTTGTTTGAAAATACAAACTCTTTCTATTCTCAAACACCCATACAGCTTTACCTGGGAGAGGGCT